TTATATGGGGGCTATACGATATTGTGGACCTATATTGATAATTCTCTGCCGAGGTATAAAGTACCCACAAGGAACTCCTTGTGTGGATTTTCAGACAATTCCGTTGAAAAATGTGGGTAAAATCATCAAAATACCGAATATCGGGGGGTACCGTTACATGGGGGCTATACGATATCGTAGACCTATATGGACAATTCTCTGCCGAGGTATAAAGTACCCACAAGGAACTCCTTGTGTGGATTTTCAGACAATTCCGTTAAAAAATGTGGGTAAAATCAGCAAAATACCGAATATCGGGGGGTACCGTTATATGGGGGCTATACGATATTGTGGAACTATATAGATAATTCTCTGCCGAGGTATAAAGAACCCACAAGGAACTCCTTGTGTGGATTTTCAGACAATTCCGTTGAAAAATGTGGGTAAAATCATCAAAATAGCGAATATCGGGGGGTACCGTTATATGGGGGCTATACGATATTGTGGACCTATATGGACAATTCTCTGCCGAGGTATAAAGAACCCACAAGGAACTCCTTGTGTGGATTTTCAGACAATTCCGTTGAAAAATGTGAGTAAAATCATCAAAATACCGAATATCGGGGGGTACCGTTATATGGGGGCTATACGATATTGTGGACCTATATTGATAATTCTCTGCCGAGGTATAAAGTACCCACAAGGAACTCCTTGTGTGGATTTTCAGACAATTCCGTTGAAAAATGTGGGTAAAATCATCGGGGGGTACCGTTATATGGGGGCTATACGATATCGTGGACCGATGTAGCCCATCTTCGAACTTGACCTGCCTGCAGACAAAAGAGAGATCTGTGCAAAATTTTAGCTTCCTATCTTAATTCGTTTAGACTGTAGCGTGATTACAACAGACGGACAGACGGACGGACAGGGCTAAATCGTCTTAGAATTTTACGCTGATCAAGAATATGTATACTTTGTTGGGTCTAAAATGATTATTTCGATGAGTTACAAACGGAATGACAAACTTAATATACCCTCCATACCTTTTTTGGTGGAGGGTATAAAAATCTTTAGAAATATATAGAACATGATTTTGAAGAAAAATTGAAATCATTGCTAAAAGTTGTTTGTTTATTTGACAACTTGTTGCATTTGTTGATAGTAATTCTGATATTACAATCCGTACAGGTAGGTCTCTTTACTTGTAACTTTTTTCAACTTAGCCTACCTTGTCAACATTGTACCATGGTTACTACCTGATTATCAGTATTTTTAAAGTTTCGGTCCCAATTCCCAACCAAATCCGCTGGTTCCCCCCACATAAATATTGAATGTGGATCCACTATTGGCATAGCTCCCATGTACCTCATTTTTATACCCTCCACCTTGGAGGAGTCATTCCGTTTGTAACATCCCTAAAATATTAAGTAGATTTATCGATGACAGTCTGTCTCTCTGTTGAAATCACGATACAGCCCACAATATTTGACGTAGAGCTTCAAAATTTGGCAGAACAATTTCTATTGTGTCTAGGGTGGCTGGTTTTAAAAGTGAGATATATCGGCCCACGTTTTGGTATAGTCCCCATATAACGGCACCTCCTGATATTCGGTATTTTGATGATTTTCGCCACTTTTTTCAACGAATTTGTCTAAAAATTGGTATTTGTAGGACATAATAGGTTCTAGCTCGTGTGGCGAAACATTGTATGTATAGGTCCAGGTTTTTATATAGTTTAACTCCTTCACAAAAATTCAGTGTTGGCGGCTGCGTTATTTGAAAACATTAAAATTTTGCGATTTCGCGTGAATTCAACATGAACTGGTGTGAGAATATCTAAAAGAATTTTCCGAGATATCATGAAGATTTAGCTGAACAAACCAATGAGCTTCGGTCTTCCAACCCTACTGTTGCCAGAGTCAGAGCTATTGACCGGTTGGTCGAGGATCGTGTGAATGTTGCAACATTGAAACCGATATAAGTAAATTGGGGGCCAAGGACTAGCCACTATAGATACCTGGAAAAAGCATTTTTGTAATTCCAACCGTCAGAACAAGAAGCAAAGAAAGAAAAGGTGTAATATCTCTCTCCTCTGAGGAAGTAACACCATTGGTAACAATGGGTTAATGTTATCTGATGTCCCAGGTTATTCAAAAGTACGGCCTTTGTGAAACTATTCATCCTATCCTATCCATACCCACATCAACCTAAAGTCTATAAAATGCTCAGTTTATTATCTCTACAGAAGCCATATAAGGATGAAAAAAAATGTGAATTGCACAGGCTGATCTCAGATTTAACATCAGTAAGTGGAACACTTTAGACAAGGGTGTTCTTCAGCAGCAAAGATTGGCTCAATTACCTATTTTCCATAGGTCGACAATAAAATAACATATATTTTTTCGTCGAAAATTCAAGCCGAAAAGCTTTGACGGCATGCTTAAGTTGTCCACTGCTTTTTGCAATAAAATACCCCGAAAATACTATGGATCTAAGACTTGCTCAAACGCCGGCCTGGCACCAGCCAACAAATTACACGAAGTGACGAAAAACTTTCGCAAACGATAATACGAATCGGCAAATGCAACCAAGCATCTAGATTCGACCCACCTGAGCGTTAAAAACAAAGGTTGAACAGATTCATACTACCCATCTTAATATATGTAAATATATATTTGCCAACATCAACGTTAATAGATGTTCGTTGAATTGTTCCTGTCTGTCTGTCTGTATCTTTGTTTGTTTGTTTAGATTTTACGGTGAATTAACTTTGTACTACACTAAAGGTCAACACATTTAAAGCTTATGAGTACACACACATGCATATGAATTTGTTTTGACAATTTTTAGAATTCTTATATTAGAAGAATTATTTTTATTAAAAAAAAATCGTATTATTAACAACGACATGACCGATAAAGAAGTATTTCCGTATACAACAAACTTTGAAGATTTAATACCGGTGATTTCTTTCATAAACACAACTCGCAACTTATCACGCAAGTTTGTTGTTTTTGTTAACAGCGAACACAAAAGGTAAAAATTCCGAACTTCGTGAATTTCATATCAGATTTTCAATCAATAGATTACAGCAAACAACAAATCAATTTTTATTGTTTGGAACACTTTATCTATTATGTTGTTAAGTTTGGAAGACCACCGTTGAAAAATATATCGATAAGGCATTATAGAACAGTTAAGAGTTTTTTTTCTTACACCACGCTAAGGTGTAAAATATTAATAATATATTTATATATATATTTTTTTTAAATTTCATAAAGATAATCAGACTTTCACATATAATTTTGGGCTGTGCCGCTATTTAGCATGTGACATATTAATTGTTAATTTGAACAAAGATGCATGATAATTTATATTCTCAAATAATACTGTTTTCGACTTTAAAGGCGTAAAAATTGATGATGGATGAAATATAAATTGCCCATTTTGCAACTTTTTTCATTAGAAAAACATTTTGGTGCTGCCAATCCTTTTCTAGTCAAGATTGGTCAAGTAATTACCCACGAATACATATTAATATTAAATATATGTAACAATGGGTCATTTTTGTACTTTTTTTGAATAAATTGGTAGAATCCACTAGGATCTTCACATGACAATTCCATGTTTAATAAATAGATATATGAATTGCCCTATATAGAGCCATATGCCGAATATTAAAAGTATAAATCGTATCAGATTAACGCCTTTTTAAATCGAGAACATTACAGGTACATTTTCAAATGTTTCTACTCCGGTACAATTAAGCCTAATTTCCGTTAAGGATATCCGGTACCGAATTTTCTGTAATTTATAGAAACATCTTATTTGTGTATATATATTGGATTTATGAATATACTTTGGAAAAAAACATACAACCCATTCGGCAAATATTGGAAAACTCAAAAGAGCTAAAGTGTTGCTTCGCTTGACCGAAAGTGGTGAACTACCGAATTTGGTTTTCTACAATGAGAAAACATTCGTTATCTAGTAGTTTGTAAACAAACAAAATGATCGTGATTAGTTGGCAAAGAGGTCAGCTGAAAATGTGCACCTTGGGTTGGCCACCAGAACTAAAGCGCCGGCCATGGTGATGATGTGAGCCGCCATAACAGCCGATATTTGCTTTCCGCTCGTATCAATCGACCATGGCATCATAATACATCGCGAAAATATTCTGGAGATGGTATTAAAGCCTTGGGCACGCAAACATTTTGGCCGCAGACCTTGGACATTTCAACAGGACTCAGCACAACCGCACCCACCCAAAAATGGTTACAAAGTGAGGTTCCTCGCTTCATTTCCAGTGCACAATGGCCACCAAAATCTCCGGATACCAATCCGTTGGCCTATTGTGTCTGGAGTATTTTGGAAAGCAAAGTTGGTACAAAAAAATACCAAAGTGTCGATCAACTCAAGCAAGCGCTTCGCCGGGAATGGGCCAAAATACCGCAGAGCAATATTTGGGCAGAGTGTGAGGGTTTCATTGGCCGTTTGAAGGCTATAATTTGAGCCAAAGGTGACCAATTCGAACAAATCTGAACTTATTCCAAAATTTGATGCTATTTTCGACATTTTTTGCTTTCAATCAATAAAATTTAAACAAAAAATGTAAAAATTGTGGCGTTTGACTTTGTTGCAGATCATTAATATATATACTTTATGGGGTCTACGACGAATATTTAGGAATATTACAAAAGGAATGAAAAGGTTAATAAAAAATACGGAAAAAATACGAAAAACTCTGAGAGTATGGTAGAAATATTTTAATGTACTGATTCGATAATGTAGATTTTTGGATCTGACACAAGTATGATATAAGAATTACAATCTGCGGTCTGATACTGCTCACGCTTTATGAGATTCATTTAATCCTATTCAACAAATGAACGTAGAGGATAAAATTTCGAACAATCACAGCTCTTTTAAAACAAGGATCAGGTTTCTTCCAAATTCCCTCTTTAAAAAGTTGGCAAATTTTAAGCACCGGCACTTCAAAAACATATATCATAGGTACTCACCTCAAAAGACATTGTGCCACCATTGCCGTATTTTTGGAAAAGATGTGCTAAGTAACGGTTGTATTCCGTAGCTGCCTGGACTTCGGTTAAAGTCACCGCAACGCAGGTGACACAGATGAAAAGCATGAATTGCATATTGAATGTGGCCATATTTGAAATGAATGGAACGGTAATTTTGTTCGAAACTTCCTTTTTCGCCTCGGTACGTTCGTGATGGTCGTTGTTCGTTTATTGTTGTTGTGGGGATTTTTTGTTTTTACTCTTGAACTTTGTTGGTCGCTAGTGGCTTGAAACGCTTGGCGTTTGGCGTTTTTGTCCACTTGTATTATTATTTTTATTTATGTAATTTTTTCTTTTCGTAATTGTGGCTGATCTTCTTCACAAATGCATAATAATTTCATTTGTTGTTGTTGTTGTTGCTGCTGCTGCCGCTTTTGCTGTCAACTAAACAAAAACAACAATGACAAAAGAAACAAGCTGTGTTTTATTTCGATATCTCACACACAAACAATGGCTTTATACAATATTTCTGTGCATCTTTTATTTGTTTATTTATTTGTTGGTTTTTTTCATTAATTCTCTTTTTATTTTAAATTATTTTCTTTGCGTATTTGCTGTTATTGTTGTTGTTTTCTTATTTATGCGATTGAGGCATTATTTTATTATAACATCTTTCACTTTGTCGCTAAAAATTCGTGATTTGGATTTGATGTGTGTACGCGCGGTTATTTACGCTTGTTTGTCGACCGCTCAATCATTCATTCACTCACTCACTGGCTCCGTCGCCCATCAACTACTGCTGCGGTTAGTTACTTAGTTGGTGATTTGCTACGGATCACAAGCGATCGCCGTACTCGAACTACCTTAGGTGTGACTGACTGACTGGTGGCCGTGTGTTTTACCGCTTAGTTGCTTGCTGCCTTAAACGCCTCCGGCATATTGAGCTCTTAATTTACGCTAACTCTCTATATGTACAATGTTACGTACTGGCAGCGAACAAAAGCGAGCTACCATCATTCCATCAGTCAGCAAAATCATTATCGCTTACTCGTTTCTTTTACGACCGTACGACCGTAATGTAGAAAGCTTTTCGCGTTTAAGCTTTTTTAAGTTAACTGCAAAATTTGTATTTGCTAAGCGATGGCAGACGTTACAAAGGAAATAGAATCTACGTGAATTGCAGAGATAATTATGGAGCTTATGAATGACAATTGCGTTAATTTTTTTTTTTTGCATTTAATCGAAAAATACATACAACGCTTGTCATCGCCTGGCTTCTTCACAGAGAAGCTAAGGAGTTTAAGGTTGACTTAGTTCGATTTCGACTTAACCCGATGACTTAAGTCAGAAAGTCAAAAAGCGTTAAATGTATTCTCACCTTAAAATCGTTTTTGAAGTTGCCATTTACAACTACTGATTTGCATCTGTCGTGGCTGTTGGGAAAATATAAACGAAATTGAAAATTTTCGCCAATGCTTGAAAACAGTTGAACCCTTTATGATATCGAAAAAAAAATGCAAAACTAGTAGATTCTTGCAGGTTCTGGAACAGAGCAAATGTTTGAAATTTAAGTGGTTGTGAAAAAGTAGAAGGCATATTTCATTAATAAATACTTTAATATAAAACCCATTATGCTACCCATTAGGAACTTCAAATACGAAATTGTAAACAATTGCGGTAAATCATTTGGCTAAAATCATCGAAATACCGAATATAGGGAAACCCCGTTATATTGGGGCTATACGAAGACCTAATCCCGTAAAGCCAATTTTATGTAACAGGTTGTAGTCTCATTAGCGGCTTCGAATTTGAAATTTAAAAAAATTCCGGTGAATATTGTCGCTGAAATCAGCAAAATACCGAATATAGGGAGTTCCCGTTATATGGGGACTATTCGAAGGTCTGGACATAGTAGACAATTTTCTGTAAACGTAAACCTATATAGCCCATTTTCAATACCAAAAGTCCTGCAGGCTAAAACCATATCTGAGTAAAATTTTATAGACCAACTTAAATTTGTTCGGAAGCTAGATAGATAAATCGACATATAATTGTGGGGTCCAAAATGTATATTTCGAGGTGTAACAGACGGAATGATAAACTTAATATACCCTCCATACTATGGTGGAGGGTATAACAACGTTTAAACGTTTCTACTACTTTATTTCATTGTGCCTCCTAAGAGACCTGATAAAATTAGATAAATTTAAAATATGCTATGAAATACAATTTTTAGTCTATCAATGTATTTTCGACAAATACGTTTTTGGACCGTAACTCACGAATAGAGTATGCGATTAGTTTCAAATTTTGCACATCACACATATTAGGTGTGTCTGGTTACCCTAAAATTTGTAACAATTGTTACTGGAAGTCGTCTGTTAACCCGAAAGTTCTGCAAAAGAGAGCGGTTGGAGAGAGAAATTTTGACAGTTCTTTCAATGAGAGTTTCCAAATTCTTGCTGGACAAATTTCTTCTTGCAATCACTTGCAACTCTTCTTCTTCTCATTCATCGACATTTAATCAGATGTTTTCTATTGTTTGTTTATTTCCTTTTGTGTTTTCAATTTGAAATATTTTTGGAATTAGCAAAACTAACTGTTTTTGGAGAACAATGTGAAAAACGTAAATATTAATATGTAATAAGAAAATAAAAGACTATTTCCAACATTTTTAGACAACGCAACATGTTTCAAGGATTCCGGGGAGCACATCAAATCTATCTTTCTTTTATTCCTGATATTTTTATTTTATTACTAACTTTCTTTTTATTATTTTTAGTTTCAAGCTTCTGCAGGAATACCGCCTGTTTACTTTTCGCATGTTCGTTGCAAAAGAGATTAAAACTACCTTACCCTCTCAGAAAGATGTTGCTGGACAATTCCTGAAGGAAAAGTAACCAGACACACCTATTATTTTATCAAACTTAGATCGTGGCTGTGCAAGGGATGCAAACGTCAATATTTAAAAAATCATATCTATGTTAAAAAGTGAATTGAGTATTTGATGTCGTTGAAGACTGACACAAAACGGACGATAGCGGTCTACTTCTTCTGGTACCTTCAAAGCAGGGATCAACATTCCACTACCTCAAGAAATATTGTAAAACTTTGCACCTATTAATATTTAATTGCACCTTAGTCCACTGTGAAAATGAATAATATAGGCCCATTGATCCATATAAATTACGTCCTTTAAAAGGTGGCAGAAATGAAACAAATGCTTATATGTTGAAAGGTATGACACCTTCTAACTAGTAGGATTGCAAATTAGATAAATTTTAGCTTATGAGGCCGACTTCAACCTAGGAGAGCATACACCAATCGGTGCAAATATAGTTGTAGTTCTCACATATATGTTTAAGCCGTAATATATACTCAAATGTCAACACTTTGTAAACAATAGGCTTCGTCAATTGAGAAACAATTAAAGGTGGAAATACATAAAGCGCTTATCTGGCTGGCTTAATAATCGGCTGGCTTCTTCGTAGATGAACAAAGGAGTTATAGGTTGACTAAGTTCGATTTTGGTAATAGGCTCCTTTGTTCATTTCCGAAGAAGGCAGCCGATGACTTTCCACCTTTAATTGTTTCTCAATTGACGAAGCCTATTGTTAACAAAGTGTTGACACATAATTTCTTCTTGAAAATCAGTTTTTTTTTTTTCTAAAAAAAATATTCATTTGTGAAAGCTAAACAATCTGGCCTTACGAATGATAAATTGAAACAAAGATACCGTTTTATTGGGGCCATACGAAGACGTGCACCTGCACAGACAATTTTCTGTCTTTTTTACGAACTTCAAATACCAAATTTGAAACAATTCCGGTGAAAAATGTCGCTAAAAACATTAAAACACCGAATATCGGGAGGTACAGTTATATGGGGGCTATACGAAGACGTGAACCTGCACAGACAATTTTCTGTCTTAGGCTGTAGTATCCATTAAGAACTTCATATACCAAATTTGAAACATTTCCAGTGAATAATATCGCTAAAATCATCAAAATATTGAATATCGGGAGATACCGTTATATGGTGGCTATACGAAGACGTGGACGTACATGGCCCATTTTCAATACCTAAAGTCCTTTTATCAACCTCTTTCATTTCGTTCGGAAGCAAGAGTGATTTCCACAGACAGACAGGCGGAAGGACGGACGGATATCGCTAAACCGACATAGAATTTTATTCTGATCAAGAATATATATGTATGTTTCGATGTGTTAGAAACGGAATGACAAACTTAATACTACTACATACGATGGTGGAGGGCAAAGAAACAAAGCAAATAATCTGTTCCAGTACCTGCAAGAATCTACTATTTTGGCAATGTTCTTCGATATTATAAAGGGAAAATCGGGTATCGCAGTAAAAACGTTTGCATTCTTGCAGTTCTGGAAAAGACGAAAATAAACTAAGTGTACAATAATGCCAGTATTTTGAGAATTAATAAATATGTCAGACCAAGAATTTATTTATAACTTTAATCTAAACATTGACATGGGGCACGCATCTCTTAAATTTCTCGGACGTATTTTTCACTATTGTGTTCATTACTTTGCGCCTCAATTACAAAACTATCGAAACTACCGGCATTGTGTAAAAATTACGGGATTTGATCAGAAAATATATTTGCCAAATTATATAGAAATCGGTTCAGATTTGGATATAGTTCCCATATATATTTTCGACCGATTTGGTACCACAAAAAATTTGCCAAATTATATTGAAATTGTTAGAGGGTTAGGTATTCTCTCATATCTCTCTTGTATGTTATGTACCAAACACGATATGTATGTCCGATTGCAATGAAACTCAGAATGTGTGGCAGAATTTGGTTACAATAATAAATTTGTCAAATTGATTAGAAATCGATTGAGATTTGGATATAGCTCCCATTTGATTTGATTTGATTTGATTTGATTTGAATTTTGACGGAATTTGGTGTAAAATTAAATTTTGTCAATAGGAATTGTTATATAGGAATCGTTTTAGATTGGCATATGATTTTATATAGAAGCATTGACCCACAACGCCTTTGCAATGGTATTAGGCTAACAGTAATAAACTACACAACAGTTTTATTGAGGATACGATTATTATGGGGAAGTATGTTCCTACTTCGAATATAATAAATCCGAAGGACAAACCCTTCAGTGATGCGGACTAAATTTGTCATGTTCTTGGTTTTCTCATGGTCAGCTGTTCCTGGCATGTTCACGCGTTGGGAGACCGAGCTATTTGTTTGTTTACGCATTAAAGTATTACAATAATAACGGTTTTTAAATTTTTGAATTGGTTTTATTTACTTTTTTGAAACAAACAAATATTCATATATTAAATTTTGAATGCATATAAAAAAAGAAATGTGTAGCGAAGCGCGCCCGGTTTAGCTAGTAGTACATATGGGTCAACGTTTTGGTATGGTCCCAATATAACGGTACCTCTTGGTATTCGGTATTTTGATGATTTTCACCACATTTTTCTACGGATTCGTCTAAAAATTGTTATTTGTAGGTCTTAATGCGATATTCGGTATTCTGATGATTTTTGTCCCATTTTATCACGGATTTATTCACAAATTGGTATTTCTAGTTCGTAATGGGTTCTAACTCCTGTGGCGGAACATAGTATGTATAGGTCCACGTTTTCTTATAGCCAGAATTTAATTAAATAAAATTTTTATTAAAATGTTGATACAGATTTACAACGCAAAAACTATTATTTACAGAATAACTCATATGACATCCGCCTTACATACAATTTGAAATGACATCGAAAGTTTTCTTCAACCCAGTGACAAAGCTTTGATAGTGATTTCTTATTAAGGAAATAGACAGAAATATGTAAGTAAAAGCTTAAACATTTTTATTTAGTTATTATTTACCTTCGAATGTAAAAGGCTGTCTCAAGTAAATTCCTGTTTATTTTCAGATAAAAGATCTGAAATGTACGACACCAAATCTCATCCGATTTGTACACACACATATGTATATC